AAATATAACTGGTACCTCTTGCACTATAAGTGTTTATAAAAATATGAAAGTATAATTTCCTAATGATGAGGACTGTTTTCGCACAATTGTGTGGACTCCTCAACTGTCGTTTACTTACGAAGCTGATAATCAACAACTGATAATGTAAATACTGACGATGTCGATGAAAAGTGGAAAGGAAATAAAGATAAGTATTTCATATTTGGAAGAAGGCTTGAGGTGTTTCTAATTAAAAGCAACCAGTATTCATTCTTTCTTGATTAAAATGGCGAGAGGAATGCCAAGTGTCAACCATCCATTTAGTTGTTCCAGATTCCTAATATCTTTAAACTCAAACGTCAGGCTTAAATTACCCCGTAATTTGCATTTTTGTCCTTGCGGAAGATGTTCACATCGACACTGATGGACCCTTAGGTTAATCAGGCATAAAGCCAAGGTCAGCAATGATGTGCTACTCTGGTTTCCAGAAGAACTCTTCCAAAAAGAGATTGCCTTGTTTCATTCAAAGAAGCTACACGTACGAAATACATAACAAACTAATTATTTTCTTCCGCATGCTATGCGAAGGCCACATGTTGGCGTCGTGTTAGAGAGAACTCGGAAAAAAATCATTTTCTTACTAGATACATGCTTTGGATACTTACACTTAACACAAATTAATGCTTGAAAAAAATTAGTATTAATACTCACTCGAAAAAGTTATAATGAGCGGCGTTGTTGTCAATACTTAACAAGTCTTGGTCACCATTGTTCTTCTTTGTGCGTTTAATTTGTGTAGTTTCTGGTCCGAGGAATAGGGCCTATTCTGCCAGTTTGTACATACTGCAGATCAGATAAAAGTTATGGTCGGAGAAAGATTTTAGAGATAAATTTCTTGTAAAAACGGAGCCCCTTCCGATATTTATTATGCCAGAGCTGGCCATTTTCTACTAACATTATATGTGGAACAATTGATGGTCTTCGAAATTATTGACCTCGCCTTGCACACCTGTTCAAAACTAAAGCAAAAAAAATATAGCAGGTTTGAAGAAAGATACTGTTTCATTTGAATTTTCATAACCCTTTCAATTGACTACCATAGGATGCACAACAAAAAGTATGAAAAAATAATTTTTCGTTGTCTAACTTCAGGTTAGGGACAAAGGGAATGACTCATAACAATTATATTTTTAACTAGGGGCTATGGGTCGGGTCGCTCTAGAGCGAATTCAAATAATCTCGTATCTTTGTCAAACCGAAGGTTGGCCAAATTTTGGCACTCTCCAAATTGTGGCGGCGGTCGCATAAAACTAAAATCCTTTGACCAAAACTTTACTGAGTGCTTCATACCTCAACACAAACCTATCTCACTCTAAAAAAATATATCACTCTGAAAAGAATTAGAAAAAAATTGCTCCAATCGTTACTTAGGAGCGGATCCTTTTTGTCTAGCTGATCTTAGCTTGGTGTTTTGGTCAACGCTTTCACTACTTGTGCTGGCTTTAACACTTGCAACGGAAGGAAAGTTTCTCGTTCAGGCGTTTCCTTTTTTCTCTAAATTGCTGCCAGTATAACCAGACCTGGGGTACGAGTTATCGACATTTGAATAAAAGCGGCGTTCTATTATTCGTTTCCCTCGAAAGCAAAAGGGTCAGGTAGACGACGGAAATTCTGCTGTCGCACGCCAAACTAGACAAGCGGACTAAAATATTCTTTTTCTAACATATCAAACTCACGGGGTACAAATAGTCTCTTACTGAATTTCGTGACCACGCCCACTTCATCGGCCCACTCAAATCGAGTGCGATTTTTGGATGTTATATCATCTTGCCGACTCTCTGTATAGAAAGTGAGTGATGTACCACCGAAATANTCTTTGAAGACTGCCTGCAAAAATCGGGTGATTTGCAAATGTTGGCAAGTTATTCAAATTGGGGGTCGCAGTTACTTTCAACCTCGTTCCCAGGGCTTTTCCCTTTTTGAATATTGGTGGGCGCCAAAATTCAAAAAGGGAAAAGCCCTGGGTTTGACTTAATTTATGCTTCTTGTTGGCAGATTTTTCCCTGAAACAAACAAACAAAAGCTCGAGTGCGATCCGGGCCTATCTGCACTGGCGAAAAAAAAGTTTATTCAGACAAGTTTTATGTCATCACCAGCACTTTACGACTACGGATGGTTTGTCACGACTTGACAGGTTTTGGCCGAAACGGGCAAATTTGCAAACGCACCACCAATAAAATTTTTTTCGGGTAAAACCTTGGCAAAATCTACTAAATAAACAAAACCGTGAGAAATGTGTTGCTCATTTGTCGTAAACGCTACCGCCAGTGTGGTTATTGAGCTAAGTTCAGCTTACCGAAAGATTGCATTCATCGTCTTTCGTTGCGAAACACGCGGATTGTTCTGTTTCAAACAACTTTTCAGCTGTATGAAGTTGTAAAATCCGCGTGTATTTAAATACTCATATTTGGTTTTAGCCACAGTTGTTGCCATATCATCATAAAATTCTATATACACTACCTTATGTTGGTACGTCTAATTTTAATAGCTTCTCTATATGGCTGCTCTGTTGCGGTAATTAATTGATAAGAGCTGGAAAGATTCCTGTTAATAGTGCAGTAGTTCATATGAATTATATTCCAGGTATCTCGAACACAGATACACTTCTTGTAGTTATATCGATCTGTAAATTTTATCTATTGGACTTGTAATAAAGCTATCCAATAAATACGACTACTTTCTAAAATCCTGCTATAGTCATTTTGCAGTTTGTTTGATGGCTCGGGTGTTTTTAGAGCATCAGTGAAGTTAGGAGGAAATCGCTCTACCGGCCATCTATCAGGACTGCAAAGTTCGTACTCTGAAAACGTGGCTCAGTTACGAGAACAGCGTTAGCTTTACAAATACTTCTATCTTTGAAAACGTGCGGCAACTCGCTAAGCGGATAAATTACTTAACTCTATCTATTGATGTTCACTTGTATATTGCATAAATCCAGAGGGCAAGAATCCGGAATATGATGAAAGGATATGTATTAAAAGATTATCGAGGAATCAATTTTAAAATTTGTCACTTTCTACAAGCGAAATGTTACATTTCATGCCGACTTCTTACTATAGGTCATCGTGACCTTAATTTTCTACAATATATCAACTACATATACTTTATAAATAAACTTGCTGAAAATTTTATGTTGGTAATTCAGAGCAGGCAGGATTGCAGGGCTGAACATTAATTACTCTCACATTTGCTACGTCATTTTTACGAACTTGGGATAATTTCTTGTCAGGTTTGATGCCTTTTTTCGCTGGGAAAATGATGATAAGCCTCTTTTTGAACCGTTCCTTTATCTAGGAAAGAAAGAAAGAAATATAGATCACTTTCATTTCCTTACTGTTTTTCGGTTTCATCATTCTAACGGTGGACAGTGAATGAAGCCAGTCAGGCTACTTTCGTAGTACCGAGGCGCTGAGTTTAAGTCAGAAAAGCCAAGCAAGGGTAAAATAGAAACATGATGATCACAATAATAATAGTAACAACAATAATAATAGTGATAACAATAGTAAAATAATAATATTAGTAATGATGGAAATACTACGAATAATTATAATGATAATAGTTAGCGAAAATAATTTCTTTTAACCATTATAATAATTTCGTTTCACCATGATATCTCTATCAAACTTTAAAAATATATTCATAAATTACAGAACATTTTAAAGTAAGAATTAACATAAATGATACTATTACTGTGGCAAAGAAACATTTCCCAAATACATTGGTTGTGGCTCACATGCGATCAGTAACTGATAATAATCATGATTAATCTGCTAAGACCTAATTGAATGTTCTTACCTGGGTGTTTCGCACACAGTGCAAAAGAAATACCAGGAATCCCTATAAAAAAAAATCAGCAAACGTGAGTGATTATTGTAATTGTTAACTTTGAAATTTTCCTCGGCTTCTTCTTTGCTGATATATCACTTCCCACGCGAAATTGAAAATAGAAACGGTTTTGTTTACCTGGGTTGAGCTAAATACTGTATGTATATAGGCGCAGGTTTTGTCTTCCGATGAAAAAAGACCAAACAGCCACATGATGCCCAGTAAGGGGGTCATCACCACGCATGTCTTGATGCAAATTCTGCAAAGAAAAGATTAAAACAATTCGAAAACAAGGAATATTTTAGAAAATTGGTGAGTAAAAATAAAACTAGCAATGCATGAAAACATACATACCAGTTGTAGTTTAATGGCTGAAAGTTTCTAAAGAAACTGTGGTGCTGCGTCAGTGGCGGTAACAAGGTAAATATAATTTGGTTATATCAA